CACAGGTTTCACCAACTTGTTCTATTTAAATGAGAAAACTCATCTTTATTCTACATATTGAAATCAAATCCATCTCATGCCAATATCGTTGGCTACTGCATACCTTTATTAGAGCTGTCCTCTTTTTGCTGTCAAAGGCATGAAGTGCACATCTTCTGTCCAGCAGGAGTTTTACTATTTCTGAATTCCCATTGGCAGAGGCCAAATGGAGAGCAGTTCTATGAGAGTGAGAAGACTTTTTAGGAAATTGTAGTGCACTATCTAAAGCCACCTCAACAAGTCATGTCATTGTAAACACTGAACAGTCTGCTATTACTCTGTCTTCAAAACAAACATTGAATTTTCCTTTGAAGAAAGCATACTATTTATTACCCCTCCTTACTCACTGTGTGAATGAAAGAGCAGCCTATTTGAATAGAAATAGCATAGCTCTTGGATTCTATTCAACTTGGGCTGGAATCCTCTTTCCCCTCTGTCACTTCCTAGATGTTGCTTAGCCTTTTTATATCTCGATTTCCTCATCAATAAAAGAGGAATGAAAATAGTAGCTTTCTCAGAGAAAACCACTGTAATACTTAAATGAGACTCTACACAAAAGATAGAGAATAGTTCCTAACACAAATAACAGCTCAGTAATTGTTAGATATTATAATTTTTACTACTACTTCTAGAGACAACATTTGAATTAAGTGAGATAATACAGTTATACCTACACTTTGAAGTATGTTTTAAAGATTACAGGTAACGTTCTATTTTAGTGATTCTATGATTCCATGTTTGAACACTTCTTACACTGGAACACCACTTATAATTCATGATTTGCTATAACTGTAATTGGTGGCATTTAAATAATTCTGTTATTGGAACATAAAATAATGGGGCATCTTACAATCCCTGGTGCCTTACATTAGGTAGGCTATGTTATAATATAACAGGTCTGGTGCAGTTCTAGTCTGATGACTGACATTTAGATAAATTGTAGTTCTTAAAAGAACTACGAAATAAGAAGGCTGAGGTGAAATCAAAAAACGAATTTCTGAAATAAACTAATTCTTACTTTGGTTTTCAAAAAACTTTAAGCCAAAGAAAACTTGAGATTAAATGACTAGGTATGGCTCATTTTTTTCAATACTTCAATTTACAGAATGTATGTAAATCAGATATTTCCAATCATTAGTATTAAGATTTAATACTATTATCAATTTTCTTTTTTAAAAAAGGATTTTGAAAACGATTTGTGGAGTGTTTTCAGCTTTTACATCCAGGGATACCCGTGCAGGATGTGCGGTTTTGTTACATAGGTAAACGTGTGCCAAGGGGGCTTGTACAGATTGTTTCATAACCCAGATATTAAGCCTACTACCTGTTAGTTCTATTTCCTGCTTTGCCTCCTTCCGACCCCCACCCTCTGATAGGGCCAGTGCGTGCGCTCCCCTGTAGGTGTCTGTGTGTTCTCATCATTTAGCTCTCATCCACAAGTGAGAACATGTGGTATCTGGTGTTTTCTGTTCCTGTGTTAGCTTGCTAAGGATAATGGCCTCCAACATTATCCATGTCCCTGTAAAGGACATGCTCTCATTCTTTTTTCATGGCTGCTGTTTATGTATCACATTTTAAAACGGTATTTATCCAAGACTGTTATAAATTTTAAAGGGCAATTAAAGGTTATCTTTTTACTATTTCTACCTTCAGAAATGCTTTTGTTTGAAAGGAGAGAGGAAAACTTCAATTGAGATTTAAGTTCTAATACCCCAATTTTAAATCTCTCAGCTTGCTCAGCCCTAGCATGTAAACATGAAGTTTTCAAAGATGAAGGACCCTGAGAGATAGTAGAACATGCCTGCCATGTAATAGGTGTGAGATAGTGGAATATGCCTGCCACATAATAGGTGTCTGGCTTATGTTTGATGAATAAATAGATTGAAAGGACACAGCTGGTGAGTTCAATATTTAAAAAAAAACTCCTGTAGAGGAATACATTTGTAATAGTAATAATCAGTTATATTTCCTATTTTAATTTTCATATATAACTAAAGTAAAATCATTAATCCATAGTTTTTACACATGTTAACCTATATATAAGAAAAAGATAAATATATAACAAAATGTATATACAATAAAATCTACAGGAACAGGTAAACAGAGTCCCTCTACTTCTGAAGAGGGTAAAAGTTTACAGAAGATACCCATCCACAGAAATAAAAATGAATAATAGAATGTGAGAAATTATTTGTATCTATGCAAGTAGTATATTTCTTCTCTTCCCAAGGATTATTTCATAACTACTGAAACTTAACTAAAACTTTTGAGATGTTCATTGCAGAAATCACAGAGAAGAGAAAGGGAAAAACTTCACTCACAAATCCCCAGAAATAAATTTGATCATATTTTCTACATCTTTTCAGCTAATGCAAAAGCAGATTTTTTGTGTATATGTAAAACAAACTGAATTTTTCCTCACTTTGTAGACCAAATTACATCTTTGCATGTCAACATATCTCTTTATCTATTGACACCCTCAATGGTGACATATCATTCCATCCCATGGATACACTGAAATTTGTTCCTAAAATCTTCATATGAGTTCTTCACAATACATTGCTATTATAAGCAATACTAAGAAAAACAGATGTATCAATTTCTTAAAGCTATTTCAGAATAATGAAATTG